GGAGATTTCAGTCTTCATCGAGAAGGCTGTCGCACAGCTTTTTAGTCAAGAAAAGAGATTTGGGTCTGAGTCTCACAGCATCAGATGGCGTGCTCTTACCGTGGGCTTTCGGAACAGTTCCACCAGGTAAAACTCAACATCAGTAACGTTTAATTTGCATAAATACAGAACCGGAGATCCTGAATCCAAGGTATTACACATTGGTCTAAATATAGCAAGTTGCAATTATTGATTCCAGTCTAAGGAAAGCCTGGGAAAGGATCAGATTTCCACTCAGAGAATCAATCTTGTCCGTGAGTGTGTGTGTGAACGCTGACATTTTTGGCCTCATGCAGTTTAGGATTTGCTTTAAGTTGTTTCGAAAGCTACAGAAAACCAATAATGGCAAGCAGTTTAGCTTTTAAATGTAAAGCCACTGACAAAAGTGAGACAACTGTAAGCTCTGGGAAAAAAAAAAACAAGAGGTTACGGATGTAAACAGCCTCTTCTGTCTTTGTAGCAAGATGACTATTTCGGATGATGAAAAATGGAACAATTTTTTTTTGGTGTTCAAATCACATGAGATTTTATTGCTTTTGTTTGTCCTTAGTAGTTTTCAGTCTCTTTTGTTACTCTTTTTTTTTTTTAAAGGTGCTGTCCCTAGGCAAGTTATAAGGCAACATATTTTATGGACTCAGAACTCTAATACATAGTATGGCCACTCTTATCACAGCAGCTTTGCAGCTACCGCGAGTTGGACAACAGTCAAAGTGCACGACAGTGCACAGCAGAGCCAGTCTCCTGACCTTACAATATACAGGACACTTTGGTTCTCGGGATGAGAGATTATAAATGTAGCTTAGATGCCGCCTCACACACTTTGCATAATAAAACATTTATATGCTATCATGAAGAGGGTGTAAAGTCTAAGTCACACTGCAGACCGGCTGTTCTCAACTTCTGCATTCGGGCAGGTGTGAGAGACAAGTTGTAGATATGCCACCAGTGAAAGCATATAAATGTATCTGGTGCAAACGTTTTACAAGAGTATTTATAAATGATTCAACAAGGGAGAGCAAGAAAGAGAGTGAGAGCTAAAGTGCAATTTAAAAATAATATAAATAATTGAAAAGTAGAAATAAGATACTAATTAGTTGTAACTGGTTTTGTTTTATAGGCACAGTTCAGTTTTTATGTCTACAGGTCAATCTTTTTCTCTTCTTCCCCCTCCAGTAATTTTCTCTGATGTATAATGGAGTTTCAATGGTCTAAATCTAAGGAACACTGCTTAGTGAGAGGACAGAAGAGGCAATGATAAGGCAGTATAGTGCAACTCACTATGTGATATTAGAAAAGAAACAAGGATGGGATTAGGTCTTCTGTAGTGATGTATAAAATCAGCCTTAAAAAAAAAAAAAGACAGGCTTTCCAGTTATATGTTGACCCATGCTTTCTAAAAATGAGAGAGCACATTTTCCAATACAAAGAAAACAAGTGAAGGTTCGCAAATGTTTTGTTGTTACAAAAAAAAAAAAAGCAGATACTGCTTTAAGGAAAACATTTAATTCTAGGAATTTCTGTACAACTGACCTCAGCAGGCTTTTCCATCTTAGACGGATGACTTCTGCTTGAGACCCAGAAAGATTAAGATGCACACACACCTAGAGTAGTTTATTGCAAAACTAATATTGTAACTTAAAAAAACCCCAACAACAGATTCTGTACAAGAATACTGTTCAAATGGAATGTTAAAATAACATTTATTAATAAATACTTTATAAAATTCTATGTGAATACTAAATTAATAGATTCCTGTTTTAAAATTGCTTTGGTCCTCATGAATTTTCATAAATTCACTCTATATGCTTTTTTTTTTAAAAAAGGTATTAGCTGCTAAAAAGCACATTTTGCCTAAACTAAAAGGCTAGTTTTCAACACTAAATATTGTTGATTAAAAAAATATGAATCCTCAAAAGTTGGGCATTTAACAACAGTTATAGCTGGCTCGTTAGTTAACAGGACAGAGTCAGTTAACACACTAAATCCACACGCACTGAGGCACTGAACCATTGACTTTCCACTATTCAGAAGATGGGCAGCAGACATTTAGCTTCGTAGCGGGAATTGACTCCCAACAGCATGAAATTCTCCATAAATCACCTTCATCATCATCATCACCATCGTCCTTATAAAACACACCATGATAGCACACAAACTACTTGTCTCCCACAGGCAGCGTTAGGAATATGGCTTGCATAAATTGACTTGGGGAAGGGGAGGGGACGGGGATGAAGGAACCACATCACAGCATCGTTTCTTTCCACGTATTGCAGTTTTCCATGGCTGAGATTCCCAGCGCGCTTCCAACGTTGCGTGACGAGAGATGCCATCCACAGAAACACCTCCTCTGGGCGAGCGGGCGAGGGAAGTGGTCCCGGTCGTCCACCGGCAGCGTGACGGGCACGGAGCCCGGCCGTGAGCTGGACTGGCAGGGTGGGAGGAGAGTGGAGCTCCAGCAGTAGCTTGGGGGAAGCAGGATTTCTCCTCGATGGAAAGAGCCTGGGAAGTGCATTTAAAGGGAGGTGCTTAGGAAGAGGCTGCTGCCACAGAGGGACATCCCGAGGACGGAGGGACAAGGGCTTCTCCCGCGCCCGCAGCCCTTGCTCAGGCAGCCTCCAGCACCCGGCCGGACCGGCAGCTTGAGGAAAGGCTGCCCTAGAAAACAAGAGCATTTTAAATGTGGAAGCGAAACTGGTAAATAATATAAGGTGCCTGGTATGATTGGTCCTTTTACCGATGATATAGCCGATATAAATACGCTGCGTGTTGTCTTGGCCTGTGAACCTGCGACAGAGTTACAAGAAGCAATAGCAAATAGCTTTTCATCCTTTACTTATTTCCACATCACTAGCAAGGATTATACCTAAAGGCCAATAGTATAGAGAGGAGACATTTCATTGTAATTACACATTTAGGCCAACATGTGTGGTTGGCTTGCCTAGTTAGCATTAAAAAAAGAAATAATTGAGCTATATATAATACACATCAGTCAAACTGTCAAGTTGCTGAATTTAACAAAACTTAGGCAAGGTTTTTGTATTTTTTTCTTTTTTTTTCTTCTTTTTAATGTAGAGGCTTTCAGTTTAACAGCTAAATATTTTAATTGAGGAGACTGAATAAAATGAAGCTAAACTGTAATTCCAGTGCAGTGTAGCTCAACTGGGTATTCTAATATTACCAACAACTTTGATTTTTATTTTTTAATGTATTTAAGTGCTACCTATATAGAGAGAACGTTTTTTAAATTAACCCTGCGATGGCATTTTCTTTTTTGTGGAGAATGATGAAATTCAGACACAGGGGAAACAGGTTTTTTTTTTACACAGTGGATGCTCAGCTGGAACACTTTGCTTGACTGCATATTTGAAAAAAGTTCCTTGGGAGACATGATGAAGCAAAACCATTTAGCTAGTACAACTGGAGGTTTAAAAAAAATTATAGATTCAGTATTTAAAACACTTTAAAAGTATATGTTTGTCTAAAATATAATAGAAAATCCTTTACATTTGTATTTTTTCATCTTTTTTTGGTTCTTAGACTATATAATCAAGTCAGGATTTACACTGTACATTAAAAATCTTCTTCTTTTGAATGTATTTGCATAAATGGAAAGCGAGCTGTTAAAGAAAAGAATTCTCATAAAAAGTTAGTTACCAAGACAAGAACTAATTCAGAAATGAATGATCCTCAGAATTTCGCTTTCCTTTCCCGGCGGGCCCTGCTCCTTACAGTGCCTCACGCTTCACTTGTTTCACTCTCCCTCTCGCACAGAGAAGAGCCACCCTTTAAAAACTCACGACTCCTCTAAAAAGCAGAGACACAGGCTTTGAGGAGGAGAACTTTGCTTCACAACAAAGCATGTTCAGGGCTAGAGGATTTGCTGAGAATCAGGTGGATTAGTTTTTTCTGTTAAAGATGCAAAACAAAATGTTTGAACGTTGTTCACCAGCTCGGAGCCTGTTCCTTGGGTAAGCAGAGGGAGGTTTTGCTGCTGACAGATTTGAGAGTAAAATCAGGTCCTGATATAGAGCAAGGCAGCATAATTAACTGGCAACATCTCTGTCTGATTTTCCCATCAATCACTGGTACCACTCCGGGATGCAAATCAGTCGTGCTGAGGGGCAGGCCCAGAGTCCAAACAAAACCCTTAATTGTGGCATAAGGCTCTTTTCCAGTCCCTCTTTGCAGAACTGAATTTTATCCAGAGTGCAGTGGGATTTACTATTCTTGCAGCACTCTTTAGAGGCTGCATGCCTTCTAAAAGTTATTTAGTGTCCTAATGAGACAATTCCTTACCCGTGGTAAACGGGCGTTAAGTGCCATAGAAGTCAGTGAAGCTACAGTGCTGTCTGCCAGCTCGGGATGGGTCTGTGGATGCTTAAAGCAATGCCTGTGGAGAGCAGGTCTTTCCCTGGGAATTAAAAATGGCATTTTTCCAGCTGGTCAGAACAATTACCCTGATTTATTTCTCATTTATAGCCCGTGAAACCTGAGGCTGTTAGCTTTCGTTGCTAGAACAACGGGTTAGGGAACAGAACTTTTCCAAATTATTACATACTACATGGATTTTTCTGTGTTAGTGACTGGCAGTGCAAAAGAGTTGCTGTGATTCTCAGGTGTCGTTCACTGTGCCTGTACCGCACCACAGAGGCGTACGGGGCTGCTAGCATCAACACAGCTGGCTCCCAGTCCTGCTTCACCTGGGGCTGCTCTGCTTTCACCTTTCACTGTTTATTAAAAACACTAAATCAGGAGCATTTCTGGTTTTTAAATGCCAAACACTCGGCGTAGCCTAGTTGCGGGTGAAGACCTAGTGAAAGCAGCAGCGGTGCCAACAGTTTTTAGGTGGGCTTGAAGTTTTTGCTTCTTCATCACTGTTCTTTGAGAAGAACAGAGGGAAGCGAGAAAGCCTGGGAATGAAAAGGAAAGCAGCGAAAAAAGCTGGGGGATGAAAAGGGTTTGGAGAGGGAAAAGGAAGGTGTAAGAATAACTGGAAGAGAAAAAGGCCAGGGTACGGGAGAGAGCAGGAGGGAGAGCTAGATAAAAGAGCAAGTAATTTGGGCTTGATTTTGTCCTGATAGCCACGTCCTATATGACCACTTTGAAAGAGGCTCTGAATGCAAGATGGGGGTCTGCTGATAGCACAACACTAACTCATTTTTTATTATGCTGTCAGCAGATGCCCTGTCTTTATATTTATAGCCTAATTACTCCTAGTTACCTATGTATGACTCTGTTTAACACTCTTCATGCCTCACGTTGGCTAACAAGCTGCAGTTTAACACAACTCCATATTTCTGAGGCTTCAGGCTAGATTGGTGAGAAGGAAACATGACTATGTACAGAAAAAGTTAGGTTTATAAACAAGTAACTGGTACCAAAAAAATTGGAGAAAGCACCAAAGCATTTCTCAAGCTGATAGCATATTAATTGCATAACTCCCTTTTATGTAACTAAGTATAAAAGACATTTTAATAACTATAAAAACGAAAGCCAGAGTCTTTCAAGAACTGAGGAATCTTCCAGGCTTGAGTTACATTTGCAAATGTCCTTAGCACAGAGGACGCTTTGATAACGCTACCACACTCCCCGAGCAGTTTCTGATCAACTACTTTTAAAGGATGGGGTTGATGTCTGTTCTGTGGCTGGCGAGCTGGGTGAGAGTGGAGCTTCCCACGACGTCGCTGACAGAGGAGGAGGTCGTGATGGTGTTGTGCTGGATGACTTGCTGCTGGGAGCAAGCTGGGACCGGGCTCGCAGGAGGACTGCTCTCAGGACCTGGGAAGGGGGTGAGGGCACAGAGACAACACATTCATTTTTCCGTCTGAGTAACAAGACCAGGTTGGGTCACGCTCCTGGAAAAGGGTGTACCACTTCGGTGGCAATACTGACAACCTGAGGCATGCAAAAGGCACAGGATTTCAAAATACACGGTTATCCAACACCCTGTCTTCTGATCTGTCTTGCTGGTTTTATTTCACTTTTTTAAGCCAGCTTCTCTGGTATCAACCTGACTTCAGGAGCTGGGACCTTAAGAAAAGTCTAAGACATTAACGGTTATGAAACCAATATCGGGATAAAAAGTCTGATATCTTAAGGTCTGTAAAATCAGTTGGGATGTTTAAATGCTTTATTCG